TTCATCAAGGGGAGGTCATGCCTGACAAATCTGCTAGAATTCTTTGAGGAAGTAATGAGCAGGGTAGACCAAAGACAGCCAATGGATGTTATGTATCTGGACTTCAAGAAGGCCTTTGACAAGGTGCCACACAGGAGGCTGCCGAGTAAGAGAAGGGCCCATGGTGTTAGAGGCAAGGTGTTAGCATGGATAGAAGATTGGCTGTCTGGCAGAAAGCAGAGATAAAAAGGGTCTCAGGAAGGCAGCCAGTGACAAGTGGTCTTTGCAAGGGTGAGTGTTGGGATCACAACTTTTCACTTTATACATTAATGATCTAGGTAAAGGAACTGTGGGCATTCTGGCTATGTTTGCAGATGATACAAAGATAGGTAGAGGGACAGGTAGTATTGAGGGAGTGGGGAGGCTGCAGAAGGATTTGGACAGGTTAGGAGAGTGGGCAGAGAAGTGGCAAATGGAGTACAACGTGGGAAAGTGTGAGGTTATGCACTTTGGTAAGAAGAATAAAAGCATGGACTATTTTCTAAATGGGGAGAAAATTCAGAAGTCTGAAGTGCAGAGAGACTTGGGAGCTCTAGTCCAGGATTCTTTCAAGGTAAACTTGCAGGTTGAGTCAGTAGTTGCAAATGCAATGCTGAAATTTATTTTGAGAGGACTTGAATATAAAAGCAGGGATGTACTACCGAGACATTTTAAGGCTCTGGTCAGGCTACATTTGAAGTATTGTGCGCAGTCTTGGGCCCCATTTCTCAGGAAGGATGTATGGCCCTGGAGTGGGTACAGAGGAGGTTCATGAGAATGGTCCCAGGAATGAAAAGCCTAACATATGAGGAACGTTTGAGGACCCTGGGACTATACTCATTGGAGTTTAGAAGGATGCGGGGGAATCTAATTGAAGCTTACAGAATACTGAATGACCTGGACAGAGTGGATGTTGGGAAGATGTTTTCATTTGTAGGAGAGACTAGGATCCGAGGGCACAGCGTTTGAGTAAAGGGAAGACCTTTTAGAATGAAGATTTGGAGAAACGTCTTCAGCCAGAGAGTGGTGAATCTTTGGAATCCACTGCCACAGAAGGCTGTGGAGGCCAGATCATTGAGTACATTTAAGACTGAGGTAGATAGGTTCTTGATTATCAAGGAGATCAAGGGTTACGGGGAGGAAGTTGGAGAATGAGGTTGAGGAACTTACCAGCCATGATTGAATGGCGGAGCAGGCTTGATGGGCTGAATGGGCTAATTTCTGCTCCTATGTCTTATGGTCTTGTTATGTCTGCACCGATCCTCCCAAGAGCATCCCATCCTACCTTTGTAACTCCACATTTACCATAGTTAACCCACCTAGCCTGCACATCTCCAGACACAATGAGGCAATTTAGAATGGCCAATCCACCTAACCAGCACATCTTTGGACTGTGGGAGGAAAGCGGAGCACCCAGAGGAACCCCACGCAGACATGGGGAGAACTTGCAAACTCACACAGACAGCTACCAAAGCCTGAAATCGAAACCCAGTTCCAGGCTCTGTGACGTGTTAATCACTGCGCAACCATGCACATGTCACAGAAAATCTGGGCAGCTCGACGAAAATCATCCTGAACTTTGTAAAGATCCGATGAAAAGCCACAAATAATGGGGAACATCCAAACCTATCTTGCTTCAGAATCAACATAGAATTTAATTATTTTATATGGTTCTATTAGCACGAAGCAAATAAACAGACTGCCAAAACAACCAAACATTAGAACACTTGGGGTGGTGGTGGAAGTGGCAGCAGGAGTACAGCACACCCAACCCGGAGCTAAGCACCATTGGAAGCTTCCAAATAAATACGTAAGGGCCAGGGCCTGGATTCAGCACACTCAGAGTGGTAGCAACAGGAGCAGATTAAAGGGAACCTGCAGGTCCAGTGGGACAGGAGTAGACTGGATGTTACAGTTCGGGAAGTAACACGAAACCAAGGGGTGCAGCTGACTGGCAAGTCCTTGTGGGTATTTCCAAACTGAATTAACTTATTTGGTAAATGTATTTCACGTTCTAAAAATGAGTTCTAAATAAACTTTAAAGGGTTTAGTCATGGCAGGTTTTTTCCTCTTGCTCTATGTAGGAGGCTGGGCACATTTCCAGTGCCTATGGCCAATGTGTGTGCAGGAAGTGTGTTCAGCTGCAGCTCCTGGAACGTTTCAGACCTGGAATGCTGGCTAGGGATACTGTGTAGCATCCGTGAGTCTGAGGGCATTGTGAGATAGCACATTTAGAGAGGTGGTCACATTGCAGATGAAGGGATCTGAAGAATGAAGGGATGGGTGATTAACAGGCAGTCCAAGAGAAACAAGCAGGTAGTCTCCTGGGGTCCCACTCGCAAATGAATATTCCATTTTAAAGGGTACTGGTTCCTCCACAGAGTGCACGCAGAGCCAAGCTTTTGGCACCACAAGCAGCATGTCTGTCCAGTAGGGGAGGGAGAAAGGACATAGGGGATAATAGGGGTTTCCAGTCAGAGAATAGATAGGCATTTCTGTGGCTATCAATGTGATTCCAGGATGGTGTATTGCCTCCTTGGTGCCAGGATCTGGAATGTCACTAAATAGATGTAGGACATTTTGAAGGGGAAGGATGATAAGGCAGAGGTCATGGTAAATGTAGGTACCAATGGCTTAGGTAGAAAGAGGAATGTGATCTTGATGCATCAAGATTTCAAGGAGCTAGGCAGTAGGCTGAAAAGCAGGTCCTCTTGGGTCATAACCTCTGGATTACTCAGAGTGGCACATGCTAGTCAGCACAGAAGAAAGACAGTAATGCAGATGAATGTGTGACTTAACAGCTGGTGCAGGAGGGAAGATTTTAGGTTCCTGGATCAGTGGGACTGAGAGTTCTGGGGAAAGTGGGACCTGTATAAACGGGATGGTCTACATCTGAACCAAAATGAGACTAACATTCTTGCGAGATGGTTTGCTACAATTGTTTGGAGGAGCTTAAACTAATTTGGCAGTGGCAGGGGACACAGGCTGTTAGCAGAATAAGGGTACAGAATTATACAATAAAACAATCAGGTCAGAAGGAGTGCAGCTTCATTAATTTTCAAGGGAGTAAGGAATGGCTGGATAGTCTTTAATGCCAGAAGTATCACTGGTAAATCAGATGAGTTAAGGCCAATGATTGACATGTGGAAGTGTGTTATAGTGGCCATCAGAGACATGGCTGAGGGAGGAGCAGGATTGGCAACTCAACATTCAGGGATATCGAATTTGCAGGCAAAGCAGAGGTGGTGGTAAAAGAGGCGGCAGCAATGCATTATTAGTTAAGGAGTCAATTACTGCACTAAAGAGAAATGATATCTTGGAGGGGGGATCCAATGAAGCTTTGTAGGTAGAGCTCAGGAATAAAAATGGGCAGCCACATTGCTCGGCATTTATTATAGATCGAGAAAATTGGCAGGAAATTGAGGAACAAATTTGTTCATAATTCGCAGAGCTATGTAAAAATAATAATAAAAGGGTAATTACTGTAGGTTATTTCAACTTTCCCAACATTAACTGGGATAGACATAGTGTAAAGAGCTCGAATGGAGTGGTAGGGAAACTATCGGAGAAAATTCTGCATGAGACCATCTATCTCCACTTGGAGACGCAAGGCTTGATCTGCATGGCTTTGGTGCAGGGATGCCGAACAAATTTGATTGAATTTTGAGGTGGTGACCAGGTATGTAGATGAGGGTAGTATAGTTGATGTCATTTATATGGATTTCAGCAAAGCTTTTGACAAGGTCCCGCATAGGATACTTTGTCAAGAAGGAAAATGCACATGGGATACAGTGTAATTTGACAAAGTATATTCAAAATTGGCTCAGTTGTAGGAGACCGGGTAATGACAGGCAGCTGCTTTACTGACTGGAAGCCAGTGTCCAGTGGCGTACCACAGGGATCTATGCTGGGTCCCTTATTATTCGCCATTTATATAAATGACATAGATAACCATACGAAGGGCTGGCTTAGTAAGACTGCAGATGACACAAAGGTTGGTCAAGTGACTACCAGTGAGGCTCAATGTCTTGGGCTACATGATATAAACGGGATGGTCAAATGGGATAAGTTGCAGATGGAATTTAACTGAGTAATTTGACAAGGAAGTATTCAAAGAATGGCATGACACTAGAAAGTTCTGTGAAACAAAGGGACCTTGGAGTGTTTGTCCATGGATCAATGAAGGTGGAAAGGCGTTTAATATGATGGTGAAAAAGGCATATGGGACACCTACCTTTATTAATGAAAACATAGATTACAAAAGCAGGGAAGTCATGTTGGGGTTGTATAGAACTTTGGTGAGACCACATATAGCGTACTGTGTGCAGTTCTAGTTGCCACAGTACAGGAAGGATGTGATTGCACTGGAGTGGGTGCAGAAAAGATTCACCAGGATGCTGTCTGGGATGGAAAATTTAAGTTATGAGGAAAGGTTGGATAGCCTTAGGTTGTTTTCTTTAGAGCAGAGAAGACCAAGGGATAACCTGATTGAGGTGTATATGATTAAGAGAGGCATGGACAGAGTGGATAATGAGCAGCTATTCCCTTAGTTGAAGGGTCAGTCATGAGGGGACACGCATTCAAGGGGCAGGAGCTTCAGGGGAGATGTGAGGAAAATCTTTTTTACCCAGGTGGTGGTTTGGAATGCACTGCCTGGGAGGGTGATAGAGGGGAATTATCTGAAAAAGTACCTGGATGAGCACTTGGCACATCATAACATTTAAGGCTGTGGGTCAAGTGCTGGTAAATGGGACTAGGTTAAAGGTCAGGTGTTTCTCACATGTCAGTGCAAATTCAATGGGCCACAAGGCCTATTCTGCACTGGATGATTCTATGATTCTATTAGTGTTCTAACACCAGGAGTCCAAACTTTAAAATGTCACTTGCACTCATGCTCATGAAGTAACCTCTTCATTGATCAACAAAATCAAAAGCAAAATACTATGGATGCTAGTAATCTGAAACATTTTTTAATAAGTTACCTGCATGTTCCATTGCCTTTGTTATTGATTCAAGGGATGGATAGGACTCACTGATCATATGCAAGAGTCTACAGAACGTCAGTGCAGGAATGAGTTTCTCTTCTAAAATTTTACCCAGAATGGTTTCTAATGACTGACTAGTAGTCTCCCTGTAACAGCAGCTCTTCAAAATCTGATAGGAAGAAATATAAAACATCCAAATTACACAATCATATTTATAAATGAGTTACATCAAGGCCATGTTAAATTTTAGATATTACAAATAATCCTACGCTTCATTGAACTAATCAGAATTCTTTTACAAAAAAAAAATCGATCAGGTGAATAATTTTCCATGTAATTACTTCCACGAGTTTCCTAAACAGGAACTCCAGATATCCGTTTGCAACCAGATTCATTTGGTTACATCTACTCAGCAAGTTTATAACCATATTATTGACCTGTTAATTCTCTCAAGTTTAGACTGCATGGAAGAACTGATACTTGTTACACGGCAACACTTCAACTAAACGTAATGAACATTTTAATCACTGCCTATGTCAACTTATTACATGCAGTTAGTGATGTTTTAAATTGAGAAAATAAAATTTTTCTCCCCTTAGGTTTTCTTCACTGTCCTATTTCTTAGCCACGTCATGAACAATCTGCAGTATCCAATATCACCTCTCTGCAGAGAAGTAGATTTGTTGCTCACTGAAGCAGATCTGTACCCTCTTCCGTGTTGACTATGCAAGGAGAGAAGGACTTCCACGTAAGTTAAAGTACTCGGTCCCTGTGATGGTAGAGACCCTTTTTAATGCATTCTAATAGCATCCCAAACGATAGTAATCCATAAATAACATTGACCCTTCTTTGGAATGGCCATCGGACCCGAAATGTTATCTCTTGATTTCTCACCACAGACCTGCTGAGCTTTTCCAGCAATTTCTGTTTTTACTTCTGATTTCCAGCATCAACAGTTATTTTGGTTTTTAATTCAGTAATCCACATATATTTAGAATATTCAGATTTTTATCAACCAAATATAAACAAGGTGAGATCATACAGGATGGCATTATCACACGACTGTGTCAATATCACTGTATGAAGGAGGATTCGCTTTGAGTTCACGTTTTGCATTTCTTCAGAGATAATTTCCATTTTATTTGGGAAAATGGTTACATGTTCGCTTTATTAGGGCCACTGAATACTCTATTCTAGTGAACTCTTTACCACTGTCTTATTGGAACTTAAATTTGATTGTAGCTTGTTTGTTCCTTCTCAAATCGATGATCACTCACAAACGTACAATTTTTCATCCAAGAAATATATTTATTAGGTTCTGATTTCAGTTTGACAGGTTGATTATTAAACCAACACCATTAAGTCAGCCATTTGCAGAAAAGTGGATATGCAGGATCATCAAGTTCTCAATGAAAGTGAAAATATAATTTCACTTCAATGACAACAGAGCTGCCTGTCCATAAATCAGAACTTGATAAGAAAATACTGTCACTGGTGATCTTAGGCATTTAACTTTTTGCTCAGCGTTCCAGTCTCCTTTGATGATCCAACTGGTTTCTCATGGTCTTTGACCCAAGATACCAGGTGAGCCAATTTTTGAATTCTAAATCTAACAGTTGTTTGCCATGGCTAACTTTTCATTTTATACTATTATACTGGAACAGAACTTAAAAGTTAGCAAAGTAGCAGTGAAACCCAGGGAGGAGTGGAGGGGAATTGGGAAGAGAGGAGAGTGTTAGACAGAAGGGAGGACTTGAAAAAAAACAGGAGGGTGGTGCAGAAAGCAATGGGAGTTGGGAAGAGGTAGAGGGTGAGAAGATTACCAACTCTCGTACTCAGCCTCTCCCCTACCTGCACTCACCCTCTTCCCTCAAAGTCACAGCCTTTTAGGTTGGAAACCCTCCAGTTCACCATCTGGACTGCCTCCTTCAGAGAAGCCAGTGCTTGCATGTGAATGAGAGCGCCATGACTAAACCTCCACTCTGGTGTTTGTAATCCAACCCTGGCTCCCCAAAACGTCCCCAGCAGATTTCCTTTACTTTGCAATCCCCATCTCCCCTCGAGTAGATTCACTACGTCACCTCTTCTGGTGCACAGGCCTCAGGCTTGTTGCTTTTCAGTCGGAGGTATTCTCTGACATTTGTTGTTAATAAGAATACCATGCAGCAAATGCAATAAACATTACATTGGACAAACAAGATGGAAACTGACAACCAGGATACACGAACACCAGACGGCAGTAAAAAGACACGACCAATATTCACTTGTCTCAATACACACAGACAATGAGGGCCACCGGTTCGACTGGGACAAAGTGACCATACCGGAACAAACGAATACCAGGCGTGCAGGGGGATTTCTGGAAGTCTGGTTCTCAACACAGGACTCCATTAACAAACAGATAGAAATAGACCCTGTAAACAGACTGCTGCTAAAACAACAGGACCAGAAGCGACAAGACTATCACACCAGAGGATCATATAAATCCGGAAGGAAGCGGAACACCAACGCTACGATAAGAGGTTACACTGATGACGTTGCCTAGAAGGCTAGTGAAACATCTACATACCACAGAACAACCGGCTCGGCAAGCTAACAAACAACTGTATGGTCATGTCAGGCTCCTAGGGAGTTTACCATCGACTAGAAACTGAACTGAACTGGAACAGTATTTTTTATTAAACAAACTGCCCTCATACTGTAGGGATTCTATGAACATTATCCAGACTTGGGCTGACAAGTGGCAGGTATAGTGCAGACCGTGTTGCAATTGAACATGGACTGCTTCAGTATCTCAGGAGCTGCAATGGTGCTAAACATTGTGAAATCATCAGCAGTTCGTTGACATAGCAGCTGAGGATGGCTAGGCCGAAATCATTACCCTGAGGAACACCTGCAGAGATATCCTGGAGCTGAGAAGACTGATCTCCAACAAATCATTTTCCCATGTGCCTGGTACGACACCAAACAGTGGAGAGTTTGCCCTCTGATTCCAATTGATCCCAGTCTTACTAGACCTCCTGGATACCACACTCGCTTGAATGAAGCCTTGATGTGAAAGGCTGTCACACTCATCTCACCTCTGGAATTCAGTTCTTTGGTCCATGTTTGAACCTAGTCTGTAATGAGATCAGGAGTTGAGTGGCCCTAACGGAATCCAAAATGTGCGCCACTGAGAAGGTAATTGCTGAGCAAATGCTGCTTGATACAAATACTGTTGATGACATCTTCCATCAGTTTATTGATAATCAAGAGTAGACGATGGGATGGTAATTGGCAGGTTGGATTTGTTCTTTTCCTTGGGTACAGGACATATCTGGACAATCTTCCACACTGTTGGGCAGATGCCAGTGTTTTAACTGTATTGGAAGACCTTGGCTAGGGTTGAGCAAGTTCTAGACCAAAGTCTTCAGTACTAATGTTGGAATGTTGTCAGTATCCATAGACTTTGCAGTAACCACTGCCTCTAAGAATTCTTGATATGACGTGGAGTGAATCAAATTTGCTGAGGACTGGTACATGTAATGCTGGAGACCAATGATGGAAACAAAGATGGATCATCTACTTGGCACTTCTGGCTAAAGACTGCTTCAAATGCTTTGGCCTTATCTTTTGCCCCGATATTCTGGGCTCTTTCATCATTGAAGATGAGGATACTTGTGAAGCCTCCTCCAAGGTGTTGTTTAATTGTCCACCATCATTCAAGACTGGATGTGGCTGGACTGCAGAGCTTAGATCTGATCTGTTGCATATGGAATCACTGAGCACTATCACTTCCTGCTTATGCTGTTTGGAACACAAGTAATCCTGCTTGGTAGCTTCAGATGGCCTACATTGCCTCATGGATGTCCAGTTTCGAGTTACTAGATCTGTTCGAAGTCTGTCCCATTTAGCATCATGATTGCGTTGAATGGCACAATGGAAGGTATTCTCAATGGTGAAGGGAGACTTCATCTCCACAAATACTGTGTGGTGGTCCCCCTTACCAATACTGTCATGGACAGATGCACCTGCAGCGGCGGATTGGTAAGGATGAGGTTGAGTATGATTTCCCCTTTGTCGGTTTCTTCACCATCTGCCACAGAGCCAGTCTAGCAACTATGTCCTTTAGGACGCCAACAGCTCAATCGGTAGTGCTGCTGCCAAGCCATGCTTGGTGGTGGACATTGAAATCCCCCATCTGGAGTACATTTTGTGCCCTCGCCATGCTTAGTGATTCCTTCAAGTGTTGGTCAACATGGAGGAGTGCTGATTCATTGGCTGAGAAAGGATAGTACGTGGTAATCAGCAGGAGGTTTCCTTGTGCATGTCTAGTCTGAAGCCATGACACTTCATGGGATCCAGAGCAAATGTGGAGGACTTTCAGGGCAACTCCCGCCTGACTGTATAACACTGTGTAGCCACCTCTTCTGGTTATGTCCTGCTGGTGGGACAGGACATATCCAGGGATGGGGAAGTGGTGTCTTGGATGTAGTCTGCAAGGTGTGATTCTGTGAGTATGACAATGTCAGGCTGTTGCTTGACTAGTCTGAGAGACAGCTCTCCTAATTTTTGGCACCAGCCCCCAGAAGGACTTTGCAGGATTGACAGAATTATTTCTGCATTTCACAGGAAGGGTCACCAAACCCGAAACATTAACTCTGATTTTTTCTTCACAGATGTTGCCAGGTCTGCTGAGCTTTTCCAGCAACGTTTGTTTTTGTTCCTGATTTACAACATCTGCAGTTCTTTCGATTTTTATTTCTACATTTGTCTTTTCTGGTGCCTAGGTTGATGCTGGGTGGTCATTGCTTTGATGAGACGTCGTCGTGATTGATACAACTGAGTCAGCTTCCTCGGCTATTCCAAAGGGCAGTCGAGAGTCAATCACATAGCTGTGCGTTTGGAGTCACACATAGGCCAGGCTACCTAAGGATGGCAGATTTCCTTCCCTGATGAATATTAGTGAACCAGATGGGATTTTCTGACAATCAACAATGGCTTCATAGTCATCAGTAGATTCTTAATTCCAGATATTTTTTTCCAACCTGGGTCCCAGAACATTAGCTGAGTTTCTGGATTAATTGTTTCATGATAATACCCACAAGCCATGCCTTCCGTTCTTGGCACATAATTGCAACTATTCTGTTCGAAACTCCTGCCCACATTTATAAAATAAATAGCTTATGTAAATTTTTCATACTGTAACGATACTTTCTCTTTAGTGCTGATATCGCAACACTTCAGCTTTGCACATCCCAGAACTCGAATCTGCTCCAACCAACTCTACTGATCACAGTCAAAGTATTCCATTACTCTCTGACCCCACTTCACCCAAGGGCTACAAATAATCTTAACTTCTATGTGACATTCCACAGAAGATTGACAAACATGAACTTATCATTAGGTTTGTTCAGAAACAATTTCTGGGTGAAGGAAATATCATAAACGCGCACTAAGGCATCAAACACGTAAATGAAATACACCTCTATTGTTTCAGCTGGAAGATTCTCTACACCAGGCATCAAACAATCCAGAAGTGGACTGATATCATCAATCGTATCAGTGATCAACCGTCTATGACTTTTCAAAATGTCCACAGCTTTACGTTCCTCGTCACTCACTGGAAAAGATCAGGAAATAAAAGTCAGTCTACGTCTACAGCCAAGCAGTCTCATTTTGAAGTAAATGCACTATAAGATTGAAACACACAAATGTTTTAAAACCACAATCATGAAAAACTTTACACTGACCAATTTTCCACATCTGTGATTCTCCCGCTGCTGCTGAATTGAGCGCATTGAATAAACACAGCCAATATGGAGCCAGTGATAATTACTGCTCATGCAAATTGTTCTGTAAACCTAATATAGGGAAGTGACGAATATTCACCAAGACAGATTTGAATCAGAAATTTAAATGTTGGTGTCAATGCCAGAATCACCTACATCATGTACAATCTCAATGCTTCTGAACACCATTGGGCAAGCTTTCACTGGAACATGTATTGTTTCAAACATGTGCACGAGTTTGTGGACAATTTTAATCAACATATTTCAGTTAACAGTCAGACAGTGGGACTTACAACTTTCTTTGAAACAACAATCACTTTTATGGCACAGAATTGTGCTGAATTACTGTGGTCTGACCAGCACGGGCTATACCAACAAACAGCTACATACACATGCTATCACAGCTAGTAACTAACAACAGGTAAATGTTTTCTTCGCTTAGCTTTGCTACCTTGTGTCAATCGACATAAACATCAGCAGTGGCTTAGGGTTTATGGAGTATTCTTTCGGCTCCAAATGTATTTTCAGAATCTGTAGAAATCTTTGGCAGGCTGTAAATGTCGTTGCACCACATGAGAAATTAGAGGTAGAAATACATCTTTAACCCTTTCTCAAAAACGGTCACAAATAAATCTCTGGTTTATGTTCCTGTCTATTTTGATCCAAGAATTGAAAAGGGTTTCCTCTGGAAATATGATAGAGTGCCTCTTACATGAAAGTTTTGTAAAACATGATTGCAGGGGATTGCCAGGAACGATACAGATATACTCTGAACACAGTACATGATCATAATATTTATAAAAGTTGAGCCAATAATTGGTCATTATAATGCATTATTATTAGGTTTAAGTACTTTTTCAAACAGTAGCGCTCAAGAGTCACCTGTTCCCCTTTCATCAGGTGGGTTATTTCATTAAC